TAGGTTGCGAAACACAAGAATTGGAGTTCAGTGCCTTGATCTGGGACAAGTTACCAGCATGCCTTCCACAGACTGTAGCCTGAGTTAATTGGTCCCATTTAAAATGCAAAATGCTCCGTTCCACTACTACAAGCATACAGAATGCACCAGAATACCTTATAATGGGTTGAAGAAATGGGTCAAAAGATCTTGAGAATGATCGACTTCGCAGTAGCAAGTCGCAAATTCGTACATATCACTGGGAACATGTACAGTAACTTGTTTTAGAATATTACAGAGCGTGTGTATTCTACTGTTTATATATACATTTATATATTCTTGTTTTTTTTTTACTATTACTGTAAAATTATACCTGTGTTTTAGAACTTAGATTCAGACTACTACTTAAGCATGGTTGATATATAAAAGCATTTTAACTGTGCCGTCCTGCAGACACCAGCGGTTCAGCGAGCCTTGTGCTATGCAAGTTGTCCTAATTGTGGATCAATATTTTAACGAAGTTGTCAAGGTTAAACTGAAACAGTAGAAAAAATACAGTCAGTATTTGAAAACTACCTACAGCCCCGTTGCTGCAGATTAAAATAATTAATTTGTCTCATTTGTGCTGATGACCTGGAAAGTACCCATTTCTCCAGCAGGGAGTTTACGAAGTGAAGTCTCTTACTCAGGGGTATAAGAACAGCTTCCTGCCTCGGATCTGGACTAATGACTGGAGTGGTTCTGGTATACAGAGTCCTAACTACTGCTCCACATTGGTGTCTTCAATATTTGTATTCATTTCGGACAGAGTGTTTGTTGTTAGTCTTCCTATAGCTGTTTTCATACAACTTGCTCTTTTCTGTATGATTTAGTTCTAGACTTTGTCTTCAGGATAAAACTGCATATGGTAATTCACAGTGAAAAGCTCCAGTTATTTCCAACACACCTGGAAAAAGGACACACCTGTTCAAAGGATACTTCCAACACACCTGGTTGTTTGCGTCTTAGTTATTCTGTTGTGAATTAAAACTGAAATGTCCCAAAAAATTTTGAAGCCGGTGGTTATAATTTGTGCGACCTAAAGCAGGTAGCCTCTAACATTGCCTCTGATAGCTGCGAGGTTTACAGTGGCCATATTCTGCCTGTGGCTGCCTACTGATTTGAGTAAAATAAACTTTTTTTTAATATGAACTCAATCACATGTACCCAGTGATCCGCAACAAAATGGTAATGTAGCAGAACAAGTTCAAATCACACATTACTGTACGTTACAAGACTTCAGCTTTCAGTGCTTTGGGCTGCATTAATTGGTGTGATTTAATAGATCAGGGCATTGCGTTCTGTGCTAACCAGGTCTTCCATCCAGAGGTGAACAGCCTCAACAGAAGATCAGCTTTTCAAGACTCTCAGACCAGTACAGCAGCCTCCTGATGATGGATGGACTTCACTGCACTTTTGAATTGTTTGTGGATTGGAGGACACTGGCATCCGGACTGAAGCAAGTCATGATTTCATCATGTGCCCTAGTTCCACGATTCAGTACAATAATACCCTGAATCATATTTTCAAAAGCAAATTATTTGGTTCAGTTAATCCAGTCAGAAAAAAATTTAAAAAGCTCATACAGTATATTACAAATGGCAATCTAGAAACCAAGCCACAGCACATGTTCATAGTCTCTTCAAGGGAAGGGAGCTCAGGGAGAGGGCTGTGGTGTAGTGGTTAGGTTTGGGTTTTGGGTTCAAATTCCATGTAGGGGAACTGCTGCTGTACATTTGAGCAGAGTGCTCTGTC